CTGCCCCAAATCACGGTCGCGCTTTTCTCTTATTCGTGTTGTGATGTATTGCCACGCGTTGCGGGATCCCCGTGTGTCGGCGGGCGCGTTGTCCCCGCGGGGCAGGTGTCACAGACCCCAGCGTGGAGCTTCTCCCTGCCAAAGCCCTCGGGAGGGGGAGAGCCTCTGGGGCTGAGTAATGCCACTGCGTGCTGATAGCGGGCGGCCCATAAAACTTTATATTGCGGTGGGAACTTGAAAAGAGCGCCTATCATGCAAAATTAGTTACTGCCCCATAAAAGTTTTTAATTACAGCTTTTCTGCCTGCGACACGAGTTAAGGTTATGTCCTCATTTCAGTTATAAATACCAATGTTCGGTTTATATGCAACGCACAGCGTTTGTCTCAGGTCTGATTTTAAGCTTTCGGTCCACACGCACAGTTTAACAATTAAGTTGTGTGGGGTTTCTACTAAACGAGAGCAGGGGAAATAATACCTTGATGCGTCCAAATGCTTTTCCCTTTCTTGTTGAATGAAGATGAACTTTGGAGCGATTTGCTTTTTCCCAGCCAAAGCATGAGGACGTTCATCATCCATTCCCTGAGCTAGCTGTTGAAGTGAGTACTGAATTTGAAAAGCCAGCAGTGTGACTCTGGAGAGACAGGGCTTTGGGTCTGCTCCTCTATGACCCTTTGAGCATGTTTTCTGGCTGTTGTGGGGGCACTCGGAAGTAACCACGGTAGGCACGAAGATCAGGTGTGAGCCCAAAGAGACATCAACCATCTCCCAGCTAAGTGACACGCTTAGAAATGTCAGTATTGGTGTTAGGAGTGATCCTGTGCTTTCATAGATTTTTTTGTCTGTTTGTTTTCCCTCTGTTGCTGCTTGTTCAGAAGCTGGGTTCAGCAGAAGGGCTTCAGATCGCAGTTAAAAGCCGCTGCGTAGCAGCAGGCCCACACTCCTTCCTGATCTCTCACCCCTGTAACAGGGGTTGGGCCCCCAGATACTGAGCAAGGAGGTCAGGGGCTTCAACCCAGGGTCTGTAGGCTTGTGCTCCGTGGCTTTGGGTTGGAACATCCAAGATCACAGGCAGGGAGGGTCTGCCACAAAGCAGTTGTTTTGACGCATGTTTCCAAACAGTCACTTTGAAAGTGGCACCAATTGAATTGAAAGAGAAACCAACAAAAGGCAGTGCAAACTTAGAGAGATGGTGTCAAGGAGCAGCTGCACCTGAGTGGGTGCCGTGTGACCAAAAAGGAAAATAAAATATAGCACAAAGATAACAAGCAAGTGCTCAGCAGCAAAGAGCGGCACTTAAGAGACTTAATTTTCTCTGCAGCAAGAATGAATGTTGTCCTTTATTCTTTGGAATGTAGCTATAATGACAATTTGTGCGCTTAACTGATGACTGAAAATCCACTTTTTGCAGTATTTGGTGAACGTTTTGCTTAAGTGTGCAGTAATTAAATATTAACGCGGTCTTCTCAAGTGGTTTTTTTATCATTATTATTATTATTTGGTATGTTCTTGGAAAATCAAAAAGGTGTGGGAAGGGTTTTCCAGATGAGCAGAAGCACGCTGATCAATTCTCATTGATTGTTACTTTTATGCTGTTAATGAATTTGCTCTCCAATTAATACGTGCTATGTCTTTTACTCTGCTGTAACGTCGAAAATGTAATAATGTGTTGTGTCAGGGCTGTAAGACAGCGTTTAACCAGTGAAGTGAAATGGGAGAATACTGTAAGCTCTTCTCTACTAAGGAGCACTTTCCCTGGGTTTTATTTGTGCCGTTAACACTTCAGCTTCCCGGTAAACTAGAATAATTCAAATAGTGATGGATAGGTACCATCTCAAATAGAAAATTCATCAGAATACACAAATCTGTGTCATAAACAAAACCCGTTTCCATGTGGTAAGCTCTTTCTTTATTTTTTTGAGGTGGTCAAACCAACATCACTTGGGGCTTTGTGACCTCTGAGTAATGTGTCTGTCCCAAACACACAGCCCCACCTCCTGTTTGTCTCTTTTTATTTGTATCCAATATGTCCAGACTCGAGGATGGATATTGTCCAATGTCATAATTTTGTGTTTGTTTACACCAGATGAGAGATGGAAAATCTCCATTAGCAGTAAGACATATTGCATGTGCTGGAAAGCAGCGAATGAGGAGACCAAAGGACACGAGGAGTGGTTCTGTATTGTAGGCATTCGCATCGTTATTTGCTTTATTTAACAACCCTACACCAAAATACAGCCAGGCCCTTAGCTGAGTGCTTAGGCTTAGTGCATGGCCAGCCCTGGTGAAAGCCCATGGGTGATGTGTCCCCCTCCTCAATGCCTGTGTAAGACAGATGCATAGAATGAAGTTATTTCCCATTCATTAAAAACAATTTGCAGATTTATTTAATTCCTTACTGTGTCGTGTCAAACAAGAAGATAATTCTGAGCGTGGTATATTTGTTAGCCATTAACAAAACAATGTTTAGGTAAAAGAAGCAATGTATATAATCAGCATATTTGGCATTGGTAATTCTAGATATTCTCAGCTAGCATCAGTTCTGCAGAGGTTGGATAGTTGTGTAAAAAATATATATATATGCATAGCTGTAGAGCTTCCAAGCTGCAATCAATATCAAATGCCACAGCATAAGGTGGCCCGGTGTGTCGTACAGACCACGTATTGAGTTACTGGCTCATTTGCTATCTTTGGGTCTGTTCCTGCTCCATTTGAAGTCAATGAGAGTTTTGTTTGGAAGTTGCTATTAACAAAAAGTGGCCAGACATCCAGCGCTCTTATAAATGAACCTTTTGTAATTTCTTGATCTTGGGTTGTCTAGCTTTCAGTCGCTACATTTCGTATTTGTCTGAATCAAGACTTTTATTTCGTGTTTTGCGGTGTCTAATGGAGACAGTTTTAGAAAGCGAATTCGACAAGTGCTTCTTCAGCCAAAGCAGAATATCCAGATGTTTGTTTTTGGATCACAGTAAGCAGTGACTTCTTTTTGAGGTGAGGGTGTCACTCAAGTCATTGTCACAGTGGGGTAAAAGGCCAGGCCAGGCCGCCCATGTGCAGACAGCACACAGCCATGATACCTCCCTCTCACAGAAAAAATACTTATGTGCCTGCTTTTATGTCCCATCTCTTTTACAGCTCTATTCTAGCCTATGTCCTGGACTTTGTCCCTTATTTCTTTTACCTCTCGGTCCCTTTCTACCTGTAACCCTGAAATCTCATTTGTCTCCTTATTGTCTCTTTCTCTGTGGTGCTTTCTGTTCTGCTTTCCTCCCAGGGTCAACTGATGGTTACCACCTTCCTCTCACTAAGATCCCAGCTAAAAATTTGCTCTTCCTGTGATGATTGTACATCGTGAGCAAACAATAACAAGTGTAATAACTATTGGCTGTTCCCTTCTCTTGTTTTCACAGCATGTTCTTTACTCCTGATGCCTGTTTTTCAGGCTGTAAACCCTTTGGGTCAGGAATTGCTTTTATTGTTTGATTTTTTTTTTTTTTTTTTTTTTCAGTACAGCACTGAATAAATTGTATGTGCTAAACATAATAAGTATAAATAATAACAGCAAGCTTTTTCGTGGCCATAGTATTTTATAAGGATCAGCTGTATAATCTTAAAAATACGCCTGTAGGACCATGTGAGCTCTCAGTTGCTGGATGTGATGTACCACATCCTCATCTGATATAAGCCCATAGAGCTCCACTGAGTCCAGAGGCTTTGATGTTTTGTATCAGATGAAGATCTGGCTTATTATCTCCGATTTACAGTATGCTCAGTAACCTTGTTTTAGGATTTTTTTTTAATGCTTTTTTTTTTTTTTTTTTTTTTTTTTTTTTTTTTTTTTTTTTTTTTTTTCCTGATCAATGAGATGTGGATACATCAGTGCTACAGTGAATCTGCTTTTGAGTCTCTCCATTGAGGGCCATGAACACTCAAGCCCACAGGTGCCCATGTTTGAAGCATGAAGCTAGCAGCTTCTTGATCTTTCCTGATGGACTTGCAGATTTGTGTTTGAATGTGTTTTCCATGTAAAGCTGAGGCAGAAACCTCCTGATTATTGGAAGGCAATTCCAGAGAAGATGTGAAGCGCGTGCAGCATTTAGAATCACAGAATCATTATGGTTGGAATGACCACTTAGATCACCTAAGTCCAACCATCAACCCATCACTACCACCACATTTCACATTCTTGTGAAAATTCTGAGGAAAATACCAGGTTTATTAAAACTAGTGGAGGAGATATATGAACTATGAAGGAAAAAAAAAAAAGAAAAAGGCACAGAAGCAATACAGGTTATGGGCACATCTTTCCTGTCATCCATATTTTAGGATCAACATTATACTCATCTCTGCAACACCGTCATTAAAAAGCAACTG